GAGCTAGAGGTCTCTTCCACCAGGTAAATATTAGATGGTGATCCAGTTAAGGAAAAAGAGAAATGGACATGCTGAGAGAGGATTGACACTTTTCAAACCAGGTTTTTGAGACTATTTTTTGCATATTGGCAATGCTGAAGATTATATCCTATGTCCAAGCTATTTCTTTTTAAGTCTCAAGCCAGACCCTGCACCTCTCAATTACAACATCACATAACTAAGGGCTGTACACAAAAACTTGTATCCTCTCAAGGTTACAGATGCATGCATATCACACAATCTAGGAGGTGATATTCATACTAAATGGATGGCCAACCAAGACCCCAACGACGTTTTGCTTTGGAAATTTTGCTTGTCGCAGCAGAGAATGTGGAAGTAATCCTTATGATTTGGCCCTCCCACGTTGGAAGTGGCTCAAGTCTTGGGCTTATTCTCCTCTTCAAACAAAAAGAAAAGAAGCAACTTTAGAAGGAAAAAGATAACAAAGCACGCACTTCTGAGTTGCTTAACTCCATGCTGATGCAAAGGCACATTAAACTTTTGTAAGAATAGAACCAAAGAAACTTTAAACATAAATAACCTAATGATTCAACCTTTCCCAAACACAAGATCCTTTTCTAAATTATGACAGTCGCAAGCATTTTAACAGCAACGTAAAAAAAACATAAAACTAACTAGAAAACACCAAATAAAAAGTAAATTTTATGACACCAAGACTATTATCCATTAACGGACACGACTACAGCACAGACTACCAAGGCAAATAATTCAGAAAGAGAACTGCAGAAGTGTTCACAGTATTTTAATGCATTCCAATCACAAAGAGCTTGACAAAAAGTATGACATCAGGGATACCCACAAGAAAATCAGGTTAATGCCACTTCCAATAAAAACTAAACCATAGAATCAATAAGGCTATTAAAGAACAAAGTACAGCAAAAAAGTACACACCATGACCAGGTTTACGATAACCTTCATGCCATTAAGCTCCAACATTATGAAACTACAAATCATATGCTATTATATGGTATGATTTTTGCATTCATGTATATTGATTTTAATCCTCATTTCATATTCACTTCTTTTTATATTGGAGAAAGGGCCACTATCTTCAAGAAGTCTTCAGAAATAGTTCCACTGCTGTTATTTTGCAGATAAGAATGCATTTGTATCCAACCTCACGTATAGTTAGATTCTTCTTCAAGAGTTGCTAAAATTTCAAACCTTTAAGTCACTTTTTTCTCAAAGAATGATTGATAGCTGCAATAATCTAGTGACTAAGATCAATGTTCATTCTTCCTCTAAAGATATGTTAAGTGATCCAATTCGTTTTAGCACTGTGCCAATTGATTAATTCATCGACACAACCCCAAATTTAAGACAATAAGCTTTATGGAAGGATGGAAAGGAGATTAAGTGAAAAGGGCTAACCTTGTTTCATCACCTCAAGTTCTCCTTTTTATGAATATATTTATAAGCTTAAAAAATAAGCATATACTAACTCTTAATGATAAATGGGACTACATGAGTTACAAAGGCTACATATTTGAACATTAATCTATTTTACTTCATATTGATTGGCTACTGAACACAAAAATAATTGCTTCAAGGAACAAAGACCACTAGAACAATTCATTCAAAATTTGTAGTTTGCATATCATTACCAGTTCCAGTTCTAGTATTTCAGAAAAGGCTTTCCTTTTTTATATTTCTTTGTCTTATGACATTGAGAGCATAGACTGAACAATTTCAAATGAAAGAAAGTATAGACTGGACCATTTGAAATGATGCAATGTGTTCCAGAAAAGCCTCAAATCAGAGGCCAGACCCATATCATAAATTCAAATCTATGCTTCAGAGTAACATGATAAACCAAAGTGGGGAAAAGGGAAGAATACATCATAGCAAACCAATTAATATAAATACATATAAAACAAAAAGGCACGATTTTTGGAAGTTCAGTTCACATAGATGATTTGTTGGGTTCATTTTCCATTTAGCAAACACAAACTACTGAATGGATTATTAGATTTGGTCACTGAATGCAATTTTTACCTGACAAAGATTAACATCTGAAGCCCAAGAAACCCTTTTGAGTTTGTGCGATCCCCGCATATTAAATAAAATACCAAGAAACCTTCTTTTCCTGCTTCGATTCCCAGTATTAGTTACGGGTTCAAATTGAGCAACCAATTTGGGTCCGATCAAAAGGTAAACCCCTACTGCTCTCAGATTCGAAACCCTAGTCTTACTGTGTGGTTCACAGCCCCAAAGCCCTTTTATGACTTAACCCTAACCTAACCTAACGTAACCTAATTTGCAGGTTTTACGACTAGATCCCAATTGCAGCGACTCTGTGTTCGCGAACGCTGATCGCAATCTCTACGATGCCACAACGTAATCAAAATGAAACCCTATAATCCCTCTGGTTTTGGGCTTCGCCGTTTTCCTATATATCTCTCCTTTTATTATCCTAATTTTATTTTTATTTTATTTGGTTATTTTTCCACCTTTCGGTTTTTGTTGTTTAAATGAGCGCGTGAAGTTACGGATATTTCTGTCTGTTGCGAACATGCCTCTCACGCGCTGATAATGCGAAGTGGGGTTTTTCATATCTTCTTTTAAACTAGGTTTCGGGTGGGCTAAGATTTTTTGACCACAGCCTTTTGAGTACGAGAATGATGCTTTGCAGTTGCAGTGTTGGTGTTGTACTTGTATGACAAGGAGAAGCAGAGCCCGCCCCGCACGACGGGAACTAAAAGAAACAAGGGAAGCCAGCTCGGCCCAAAACGGTCCCAATCCAAATTTCATAACACAAAGATTGATTAGAGTTTGAAGAATTTACACATGTGTTTGTTCATATAGGCAGGCATAAACTAGGTGGTGAATGATTGCAAATTCTTCTAACTCTCATCAATCTTTGTGTTCTCTTACTGAAAATTAAATTGGATTGGATTATGAAGTAGAATTGGATCGCATTGGATTACTCTCTGCTAAATGATGATGGCGAGTGGAGCTACCCCTATCGTATCATCAAGTGCTTCTTTACAGTTGTGCTCTCTCAAGCAAATGCAATCCTCAGGTCCCCAACAAATATAAATTTCATAATGGTCGACCAGCCAGCAGCAGCAATTAGGGGGGTAAAATTAAATTTCTGGGAGAACAATTAAATCGGGTGGGATGAGGAAATTCATAGGTCTTGGTAAAGTTTTTTGTTCTTACATAGTTCACAAAATCTTATTGACTTTTGTAACCTCAATTCAATAGATTTAATCGATTTACTTTTGAAAAAATTCTACAATGAGTTTGATACTGTTATTGAGTTAACGGTTCCATGACGTTAATAATATTTCTCTCTAATCCACCTAGGATACGCCTATGGAAATTCTGTAGAAATGGATTTGGAAAATCGTAATAATATTACGAAATAATGCAATCAAAGAAATAAAGAAAATTCAGTTTTATTACAATAACACCACACCTGGCAAAAAGCTTTCAAAAGCTTTTACCTTATACTTGCCTCAAACTTTGGATAACCAAGCCAAAGCATCTGTACTAGACCCAAATAATATCACACGGAGATTATACCATTTGGAAGAAGTTACAGAAAACAATTATAGCAGCGAAAAAAAAAATGTACATGAAAAAGTCACTCACTTTCTTATATTTATAGAAAGGAAAAAAAAACCCCCAATAACTAGAGTGGGTTAACTAAGCTGCTATCGAAGTGGAAAAAAGCTAGTTACAATCTTTAAGTAGCTACCAGTCGTGTAATCAACAGACTCCAAATTTCCTGTTAAGAACTGGTCATCTGCCACCGTTGTCTTTGAGATGTCTGATTACTTCAACTCTTCACCTGTTCCATTTTCTCTCTGAAAGAAACAGAACTCAAGGTAAGAAATCATGTTAGAGTGCAAAAGACCTTACCTAATATGGAATTATTGCCAACTACTCTGACAAAAGTAATTCTATATGTTACGGACAATTTTGTTGACAGAAAATAGGCACGCTAAGGATGCACAAACTGTTATCATAGGAAAAGCATGCATACCATTTCCCTTTGCACCCTGCTGTGCTTGAGACATTGACCGCTGGATGCGTGGAGACCCCTGCCTTCCATTTGCTCCAGGTAAGGAATGTCGTTTCTTGATGTAAACGTCTCTGTCTTGCACATCTGGACTTGATCTAGGGGAGGTATTTGCTTGAAGCTTTGCTTTAGCAGATTCTGTCGCTTGCATGAAATGTGGGATAGAACTATTACTGCTGCTATCTCTTGGTTCTTGATCACCGTGTTCCACAGGTCTTGCTGAACCAAATGAATTCCGTCTCTTCCCATTTTTCTGATCTTTACTTGATCCTGAATCATGATTTGGATTAGAGGGAGATTTCTTTCCTGCAGACACAGACCTACGTTTTAGGTTGGAGCCACTCTTATCAGCTTTACTCCTTTTAGCTTTCACTGATATCAGACTAGAAGGTGTCCCTTGGGATTCTGGGACAGTTAAATGACTTCTTGGAGAAGCTTCTGGGGATGACCCATATGCCTGAATACCAGCATCAGTGTCCTGTTCTCTCTGCAGATCAGACGTCCTCTCTGGCTCAGACTCTATTTTTGGGGACTCCATAGCAACCACAGAATTTATGGGCTCACCATTAACAACATCAAGTTCTTCTGGCTGATCCAAGACAGGGTCAGATAAGTTGGAGCATGGGATTGCGGGTACATCTCTGGCTTGGACATCTACATCAGTGTTAGGATTGCAAATCCCACCAACTGAAACTTTGGCTTCATGTTCATGCTCCATAGCTCCAACATCAGATCTATCAGGTGAATCAAGAGTGGAAGAAATAGAGATTTCAGTGCCACACTCAGATCCACCAACTTGAACCTTTGATCCATGGATGACTGGATTTTCTGCCACGCTGAGTTCCTTTGCCTTGACTTCAGTATCCACCCCAGCTGAGAATGCGTCCCTCTGTAATTCAACTGCAGCATCATCTTGATGGGATGGACTGATCGATCTACCTGAATTGGTTGTTGTACTCAGCACTTCAAATTTCGACTGAGCAGCAACAAATGCAGGATTACTCACCTTCCTGGATCCAAATACAGATTTCTTCCCTTCAGTTTCTAGTTGTTCTGAGGCTAATCTTTTCATAGAACGTTTAGGTTGTTCAAATTCTATTCCAGGCTTCCCAGATAAAGACTTGAGCTCCATTTGAGAATCTGCATCTGGTTGCATACTTTGATTTGGGAGAAAACTTATCTCTCCTGAGATCTCTTTCACATCAGATGTACTGGTGTTCTCCACCTGAGGCTGCTCAATATTACCTCGTACAGAATAAGAGGTAGAATGGTTTGCCTGAAAGTTCAAGTTGTCGGCATCGTAGACAATCAGATTCTCTTCACTTTCGGATGGCAAAATCGATTCGTTGATGCTAGACTTTGAGTCTGATATCTCACAAAGAACATCATCTTGAATTTTAGATTCCAGAGGGGACTCAGAATTTTCTTCCTTTTCTCTTTCCTGTTGTTCTATTTCTGGCACTACTTTTTTTGACTCTGGAGTATCAACTGATGAGACTGATGACCACCTCTCCAGCCATTTCCAAGAAGAATCGGGCTTGGAAGAATCGCACTTGACATGAATAGGTTTGGTCTTCGGTGATGATTCCAACAACTTTAATTTCAAAAAAGATCAGTTTAGTTCAGATATACGAATGAAAGATAAATTAAACTGCACTGCAGTTACAAAACACAGGACAGAAAGTTGTCTAGCATACCTGGCGGGCAAACCTATTGCTAAGTAGCTTTTCAATTGAAGTGTATGTTATATTTGATTTGGCTACCAAATTTTCCTTCTCCTGAAACATGAAAAATGTTCGGGAAGATTTGTCAGGAACAAGTAACAACACTAATAAGTTGTCTCAAAGAACATTTCCACAGCCGTTATGACAAAAACCACTGATAATAGCAATAACAAATTAAGTTTATGAACACAATTGCAAAAATAAACCAATGCAAATACTAGTTAAATATCATACACCAAGGCAAAACTTTAACATTCAAATGCGATTAAACTAACCTCCCAATGCCAAAGAACTTTTAAAACAATGCTTCATTATATAATGAGCTGAGCTTTTCTTGTAGTTCACATAACCAGTTATGACTTTCTTTGAGAAGGTGAATACAACATTTGATCTGGGAGAAGGCTATATCTATCTCAAATGGTGCCTGGACGTATGAATTGGGTACAATACAGTAGCATCTCAAAGTGATTAACTAACCATGATCTTTCCTTCAAAAGTTGAATACAACATGAGATTTGAGAGAAAGGCTATCTCCATCTCAAATGGTGCCTAGACATTTGGATTACATAACAAGACAAATTATGCACTGCTGTTACTTGGAGTTGTTCTTATTGGCTTGACCATCGTTGACAGAGGTGTTAGCCTCCATACAAACTACCATCAAACTATTATGAACAAGATTACTGAAGGCAAGAATAGATTTGGATAATGACCCTTTAGAGATCAGAATATACTAATTTGAGTTGAGTAGCATTACCAAGATCTTAGAATTATGGTTATCCTTCTCATGCTCCCCACCTCGATGCAGCTGACGAGCCCAGCGAGCACGAACAAAAGCTTGCATTTTCACAAGGGCTTGGACACATCGTAGAGTTCCCACAGCATGCCTACGGACCAAATGCCCACGAACAGCAGCTTGCAGCTTAACGACATTCTTAAGCTCCAGAAATGCTCTCTGAGCCTGGCAAATAATTCAATGAAAACATTAGCTGGAATGCTACTAACTAGAAACTCAAAATTCATGTCTATCCAAAAGAGAAATTACCAATAATCCTCTGACAGCAGTCTGGACAACAATAACAACAGACTCATCCAGTTTGCACTCAACTGCACTTTGATCTTCTGCGGTATTTTCAGTTTCAGATACTTTCACTTCGGTCTCGGATACTTTTGGGTTCTCAGGAGTTAACAACTGGGGTTTCTCGTCACTGCAATGTATTACAGATATTTTCTCTCGCACAGTAGTGCTAGCTGGTGGTTGGAAATTAAGAGTCGCAGATTCTGGGATCTCCTTATGTCCAGACGTGGGGGTTTCTGTGATCACAGTGTTGCTTAGCACTCGATGCCGTGCAGACCTCTTCCGGAAACTCCATCCACGTTTGTCACTTGAACCCTTGCTCTAGAATGAAATGGAAAGAACATTGATCAATACAGCACACACATAGAACAAAGTGCTCTTACAAGCAACTACGTGCATGCAATAAGCATTTTAAATGAATCGCAAGGGAAAAATCTACGCCTATTACCATATATCAGCTAACCATGAGATCAAAAGTTGACAGTAATTAGGAAATGCAGATGGCAGTTATGATCAACCAAATGTTCTTGCATATTACATGGGTTTCAGAAAATTTACGAATGCATTTAGCCTAATTACATCATATAAGCAAAAGTTAC